ACACAAAGGGCTACTACACAAAGGGCTACTACACAAAGGGCTACTACACAAAGGCTACTACACAAAGGGCTACTACACAAGGGTTACTACACAAAGGGCTACTACACAAAGGGCTACTACACAAAGGGTTACTACACAAAGGGCTACTACACAAAGGGCTACTACACAAGGGTTACTACACAAGGGTTACTACACAAAGGCTACTACACAAAGGGCTACTACACAAAGGGCTACTACACAAAGGGCTACTACACAAAGGGCTACTACACAAGGGTTACTACACAAGGGTTACTACACAAAGGGCTACTACAAAGGGTTACTACACAAGGGTTACTACACAAAGGGCTACTACACAAAGGCTACTACACAAGGGTTACTACACAAGGGTTACTACACAAAGGGCTACTACACAAAGGGTTACTACACAAGGGTTACTACATAAAGGGTTACTACACAAGGGTTACTACATAAAGGGCTACTACACAAGGGTTACTACACAAAGGGCTACTACACAAAGGGCTACTACACAAGGGTTACTACACAAAGGGTTACTACACAAGGGTTACTACATAAAGGGCTACTACACAAGGGTTACTACACAAAGGGCTACTACACAAAGGGCTACTACACAAAGGGCTACTACACAAAGGGCTACTACACAAAGGGCTACTACACAAGGGTTACTACACAAAGGGCTACTACACAAAGGGCTACTACACAAGGGTTACTACACAAAGGGCTACTACACAAAGGGCTACTACACAAAGGGCTACTTACACCCATAGCTGAAGCTCTCTGTTGAGCTACAAGATCTTTGTTCCAGGCTTCGTCACCACCAATTTCTTCTGTATACCCTAGGAAATTATCAAGCCCTTTTCGAGTCTTTCGCCTTGGAGAAGAACAAATTTCAGGGAAAGACGATCGGTTGCACGTACTCTCCATCCTCAAGCTCTTCTTCAGACGATTCTTCTCCAAGAGTTTGCCAGTTGGACGGTCTCGTGATTTCAGGAGGAGCCGAGAACCAATAGCGCCAATCAACGATGAATTCGTACAAATCTGAAAATGAGCGAAATTGTTAGAAACCATTCAGAGAAGCATGCAATGAATAGATCATTAGTGTGAACTTACTGTCTTCCGTTAAGGCGTGTAATGCAATATACGTCTTCTCAGGAGTCTGTTAGACATAGAAAATAATTAGAGCGACGATACAGATGGAAGGTAGAAAACATTTCAGAGGCGAGGAACAACGAGTCACTGCTGGGAACGTGATGAGCAACAATCAGTCGTGAATAGAAAACGATGACATCATGTCCTCAAGCATGCCAATTTCTTACCTCCCGTTTGACGAATGTTAGGGTTTGAAGCTGGTCAAGAGCCACCTGAAGCAAATTTTGAAGCTGTCTTCTAGTTCTTGGCGTACGTGTTCCTTGAGACACAATTTCGTCACCACGTCTCGATAAACGTCAACTCGACCATCGGCATCAGGACCTGTTATTTTTAATGTAGCGATGATACGGCAGGAGACTGACCAGAGAGCGCATAAAGACATTGCAAAAGTGGAAGGCTCGACATCAATTTATCACAGATGAAAACGTCGTAATACTCTCGAGTTGTTCCCTAAAAAGGAAATACATTTGGGAAGCCGAGTTGGCGGTGAACTAGGAATGCGTACTGGAGCCATCCATCCGATAAACACAACTTGTTCCGCTGGGAATCCACGCACTATTCGAGTCATCTGTGAAAACTCGCGCGTTGCTTCGACAGAAGGAACAACTGCATTCAGTTCGGAGGTTTGTGAGACTTTTGCGTGGAAGTTACGACTGTGTAGAGGAAGATTAAACAATTTTAGGGAATTCAATTCAAAGCCTTCACTCACATTCCAGGAGGCTTGTAGAGCAAATAGAAGTCGTAATTCGTCAACGCTAGGATTTTTTGTTTCGGATCTGCTTCTCCTAGTGATGCAACCCAATGGTGAATAACTGAAAGCTGAAGAACCCGCTCGGCACGCTGATGCTTCACAGACAAATACAGTTGCTGAGAGAGTTGATAGTGTGTTGGGCAGAGACGATTGGCTTACAACAGCTTGGCGATAGTGACCGTGTTAGCAGATTCTAGAAGCTCAAATAGAAAGGCACGTCGAATGCAGCAGCATGTTGGAAAACTTCAGCCTGAGGGAATGAATGCAGGTCATTGAGAAATACAAAATGTTTTTTTTGTAGGCTGTTATCAGCTCAATGGGGACGATGGTCAAGTTTTATAACATGGAAGCCCACCATATTAAACGCTTCGATGACTGTATACTTCAGAGGTTGGCACGATTGAATCAACTCAGAAAGAGCGGTTAGGCAACATTCCCGCATTTCTGAAAAATTACAGAATCTAGACAGACTCAAAAATTGAACGAACCTTCTCTTAAATCAGCAGTTGATTGCAACAGATGGCTGATATAAGTTCCACTGAAAAAAGAGTGATAGATGACCCAAGAATGACAGATAATCATCATTTCCCAAGAACGACAGATAATCATCATTTCCCAAGAACGACAGATAATCATCATTTCCAAGAACGACAGATAATCATCATTTCTCAACAGTGACAGATAATTCCCAGATCATTATTATCTAACGCGTGCTCACCGAGATGATCCTGCAGCCACTTGGAGATCATAGATTGTCATAGCGACAAGGCTCTTAATTGCTAGAATATCCAAAAATCTCAAAAGACCCTTTTTAACACACCATTTCTGAACAATCAACTGGTTGGAGAACTTGATGTATCTTGTTTGCTTCGCGACAACGGCTAAAAGTCTTGAGCTCTCAGTAGAAAATATCTGAACGAGAGAGAATCTACAAAATCTACTCGCTGAGAATCTACAAAATCTACTCGCTGAGAATCTACAAAATCTACTCGCTGAGAATCTACAAAATCTACTCGCTGAGAATCTACAAAATCTACTCGCTGAGAATAATCTATGAATTGACTAAGACGGATCCGCAAACTGAAGAACTCACTTGTTCGGCTTGTCCCAACGGTTTCGAGCGACTTTGTTTCAATATATAGAGGAATGGCCGCAAAATCCGTATCAGAGTTTGAGAAACAATATCATAAGCAATGATAAGATCCATGGACTCCGCCTACAAAATAAAACAACGATAAAACAGTTTCATCGCGATTGATCTCACAGATTGATGAGGCTCAAGAGTGATTGCCAATCTAACAACTGCAAGGAATTTCGCGCCAACATGACAATCAAACAGTTGAACAGCTTCCATCTGGACGAAATCGCTCAAGATAATCAACTTTTCATAGTTCATACCAATGAAACAAGCTTTCGTAATGTTTGTGGTTGTCGGACGCAATTGACGGTATGCCGGAACACTTCATCCGATATTGGGACGACCATACAGGAGTAAAGCGACCTGAACAGCGTGAAATTGACAGATTCGTTTTCTGTCGTGTTAACCTCAACAACGCAGTTACAATGAATGCGGGGCGCATCTCCCCGCAAGTAATGTTTTCCCAAACGGTGCCACTCCCATAGAATCCAGTTCCAGAACGCAAGTAGATGGCAGAGATATCCGGGTCAAGCGAATGATCGCAACGGTGCAAAGCCTGCATCATGAGCCATCGACCCTAAAGGAAGAGTGAGCAATGAAAGGTGTTGCGTAGTAACAGTGAATGAGTTTATTTGAAATATTTAGCCGATAGACAGAACGGACCTCGTCTTCATATGAATCTGGTTTTGGGTAAAACTGCATTGGTGTTGGATCATCAAGATCTTCATCGACGGCAACCTGAAGGGCGTCATCCACAGAATCTCGCTTTCTCAAAACTTACTCCCATTTCGAGATCGGACTCCATAGATTCCTTTTTCCCTTTCAATCGTCCAGCCCAATATTCTGAATGCTTCTTCTTCTTTCTCTCCACTCTAATGAGCGCACGAAATAGTTAGAAGAATCGGTGCGAAACTTACGCTTGGCGGACATCAAAGTCTTTCAACGCTAGTCTCGTCAGGTAGGTAAGAAGCTTCTCCGGCCCTTTTGTTCGAATAAATTCCTACAAGCAAAATGAAAATGATTCTACAACCATGTTCTTGAATAACAGTCTTCATCAGAATACTACTAGCTCCGCTCTGATTGCTACATTTCCAATTTTAGAAGATAGCACTGCGCTGGAGTCCGCGAAGTGGACTGGGGGAATACACTCATCACGCGTGCAATACATCTTGTCCCATGGATGTTTTGTCTGTTGATCTCTCTGTGTATCGCTTACAACTTGTTGTTCCATTCGATCGCTCCATTCAGATTCATCAAGAAGTCGTAATTGTTTTCGTGTTTGTCTTTCAGAGAAGGGCTCGTTTTCTCTCCGACACAGGCCCTGAAAGAATTCAGACTCGGAAACGATAAGACACTCAATCTGCGTACTTGGAGCGTTATATCAGAACCGAAATCGACAACAGCTGCACGACCTTCCAAAATGTCAGCTATTTGACTCATAACACGAAAAGCAACCTTTTTTGTCGGAGTTAGCCGCCCTTGACCAAAGAAACACCTCAGAAGTAAAAGCAGCTCTCGTCCAGTCCAACACCTCTCCACAGCGATGTCCTAGCAGGGTCAATGATTTCAAACCAACTAGCGACTTTTTATTGTCTGCCTACAACGTACCGGGCTTTCCGCGAGGCATGTCTCTTCTTCGGCTGAAGTGATATTTCTAAACATCTGGCCAATCGTTTTACTTCTCAAATGAATTCTGAACTCCGTATAGCGCGATGCTGATCGCAAAAATTCAACACAAGCGAGGCAAATTTTCATTTTGCTCTTCTCTGCTTGCAGATTCTTCGAGACAACAGCCACCGCTTTAGAAAGCAGTTCATAAACAGAATCAAACGTCTCTTGGGGATGTTCATTGCGTACAATCCTTCCAGGTTCTCCAACCGTATCATCGATGAATTTTCGCAACAAAAACAGCAACGCGACCACCAATCCAGCAGCATCATCTGCACAACAAGATCTCACTTCATTCACACATGCCGTACATTTGCACCTGATTTGAACGCCCGGAAGGATCTAAGAAGTCCCAAAATGACAGAAACATCCTCAGCATCAAAATTCTCGATGGGGACTTTCGACAAACACCCAATAGCGACAACCTTCACGGAGATGCTTGGAACGATTAAGAGCCGAAATAATAATTTTTCACGATTTTTTGTTCCCAGATACTCATTCACGACCTGAAGACGAAAGATGAACTGATGAATAGTTACAAACGCTCCCCGCGAGTGGGATTTCTCAACGAGTGGGATCCTCTAAGACCATCATTATCTTCTCACCATGCAATATGGGATCTCTGGGTGATCTAGATGAAATTTAATCAATTGCCCGATCGCAACGAACACGGAATGGATGTAAGGATTTGAACAAAATTGAATCTCAGGAATTGACGGTCGATAAGGAAGCTGACAAAAACAAAACTCCCAATGAAGCAAAGAGTTCTCTTACCGTGTCCTTTCCAATAATATGGCGTTCTCCCAGATCGCACAAATCCTTGTACGTTCGTCCTCCAATGTATTGGAACAATGGGACAACACGCTGAAGCTGTTCAGTAATATATTCCAGTAAAAAGCTTCGTCGTGTTTCATCATTCAAAATCGCAACAAGTCCTAACAATAGAAAAAATTATTCTTCATCTAGTTTTGTTGCTTACCCCGCAGTGCTGCCGCAAGTATCAATGGATTTGCGCAAAATTCTTTCGCAGGAACGAGCAACAAATCAGTCAGATGAAAGGAATCCACGCAATCGGCCATTCCCTGTTCATTTGTTTGTATAATCCCATTCAGAAAATCGATCATTGCAGCTACAAGACGGGCCTACAACACAATTGACGCTGAGAAGCTGATGTCGTCATGTGATCGTACATCTTTCAGCGGCCACTTCGAAGTGTCTGGTTTTCGAAAATGTTCTTTAAGTCTTTGAAAAATATACTTTGTATGAACTTCTTCACGAACAAAATGGGTCGCAGCTTTTTTCACATATTCGGAACATTTTCTGCATCACAAAGTCATACAAGTCAGGAGAGTGAGCATCGCCCACCCTGCAATGTGCAAAAGGTTCACAAAAGTCGTTTCCGAGACTTCCCCATTCCCTTCTGTAAAACTCTGTTTAATCACATCGCACACAAGCTGGGGCACAGCCTGTCCCGAACATTCAAGAGAGTTTGGGGGATAGTCAACAACCATGGCAATGACAGCGAGAAGAGCCGGATCATCATTTTCATCTTCCAGAAATAAAGCAATATCGGTAACAGCTGACGTCAAGCTCTCTGTTGGGATGAAATGGAACAAAAACTCAAATGAATTTCCTACTAGCGAGGGTCATTGTCGGTCGCATAAGTGCCAGGCCTTTAATGATAGTTGCACATTTCGTGTCCGATATTGCGTGTCCCTACGAATGACAAAACCCGTACAGCACCCTCAACATCGTAAGCCTATCTGATCAGAGTTGTTGTTCATACTTGCAAGGCAGTCACAACACACTCTTCAATTGCAATTGCTGCCGCGTCCGCCATTTGATCCCCACCACGCATTAAATCGCTCATTGTTAACAAACACAGAGGTCCAAGATTCTCATTCGGAACGCAGCCCAAACGAGCAAGTGATCTGCAAGCAAGTGCCCACCTCTTGTTAGACTTTCAACAGAGCTGAGTCAACTATGGCGATGACTCAGCACTCACCTCAACAACAACGGCTGAACATTCTCATGACGTTCTGCCAATAACGTTATATTTTGGAGAAATTGAGAGACAGATGATTGGCCTGCTGGAGTTGTTGGTATTTCAGTCCGACCGGGCTTGCCGGCAATGGGAGGAGGGGGGGCGGAATCTCCAAATAAACGGCTGAATTCTGCAGGTGATGAATTACTGATAAATTCTGATGCGCTGACAATTCGAGAGCAACAATCAACAGCATCTTCAGGAACTTGTGAAGCATGTTGGAGATGCGCGTTAAGAACATCTAAATTGGGAACTTCATCGAGTAGAATTCCTGCTTCATCCACTTGTTGCTTCCTATGAAGACCAAAAGAGTTGAAGTGTACCAGCAATGGAATACCTCTGACTCGATTGACCCAAATCTGAAAAGAGTTGCCTTTGTGCGAACACCTGATCGTACTCCTCAAGACTTCGCAGAGGAAATCTTGCTATTTGTCCTCTCATTGTTTCATTGAGTTCCCAATCATCGATCGTTGTCAACGAGGGAATCGACAAAGCCACGAAATATTGATATTCTGGGAACCAACTGAGAAGAGAAGGCGATACGAGTGGGATCCTAACAAGAGTGGGATCCTAAAAATGCGACCCACTTTGAGAATGGATTCCCGCCTAGACAAATGGTCGTCAAATGTGGACATGCTTTCAGATAATGAACTCCCCACTCGATTTGAGATGGATAAATACTGATTCTATTGTGTGAAATATCAAGTTCTTTTAATTTGGGACATTTCACAATTGTATCCCAAATCGAGTCAATACGATTATGTGAAAGACGCAAGACCTATTGATAAAAAGATCGACCTAAGAAAAATCTCGATCTGCTTACCTCAAGGTTTGGCAAATAATCGAGGCATGGAATGGTTTCCAAGCTATTGTGTGAAAGATCAAGGACAACGAGCGCTGGAAGGTCAATGACTGGGGCAAGTAACAAATTCCTTGAAAGATTAAGGACTCTCAATGGCCCTGCAAATGGGGCATCAGAGACGAAAGTACGATCTACGTCGGTGAGTCGATTTTTGGCCAAATTCAAATCTTCTAAATGTTTGAGATTCAAGAGCGGATTCCATAGTCCACCATCAGAACCACTCAACGTTTCTAAGCTGAAGGCATCTGATGAGAAATCGAGAGCTCTATGAGGCCTCTCAGCCCAGCGAGCACCCATTAGGGACTCCCATATGGAGGCATTTAACTCCCGAATCCTGCTTCCCTGCTGCATTTTTAGTCCACGTTAGCAAAACCTTCTGCGAATAAGCCGAGAAAAAACCAAGACGAAGAAGACAGGGCTTCTACAACGCAAATTCACATGAGTACTACTTCCTCGAAAGTTAAACTATTGTTTCTGCCAAAAGCCACAGTTCTGCACTGAGGGACCTTGGAACCACAACTGTTAGTTTTCACAAGTCTGTAGTCTTTTAACCTGGCGCTTTCTTCCAAACCTAATTTCTGTTCAGTTCTGGTCAAAATTGATGCTCTGTTTTTTTGTAAGAGTATAAGTGAAAACAGATGGCTCAACTTTAAAGAAAGAACATTTTTTTAATGTGAGAGTACAATCCGTGATCCCAAATCTTAAAAAATGATAAAATCTAGAAAAACAAATCCTCATGGTTCTTGACACGGAATTGACGACGTTAGGGGGCTGCACGTACTCCCCTAAAGGACCACCAGAAAAAGAATTTTCAGAATATTTTTTGACTATTGATCAAATTAGCAGCATGAGCGTCTCATCAGAGCAAATTCAGAAGGCGCTGTTGGCGTTCGATAACGATAAGGATGGAAAGGTGTTCCCAAATGAGGTCCGTTCGCATTCCTAAAAGATCTCTGGAAGTTATCATTTTGAATCAGGTCGTGCTCGCCCAACTGTCCACTGGTGTTTTTTTGAATCAAGAAGACAAAACAAAATTTGAAAAGCAATTGGGCGGAAAGTCGTTCAATTATTCCGAGGCTTCGAAGCTTATTGAGGGTGTCACAAAAGGCAGGGATCCCAAGAAAGAATTAATGAAAATGTTTTCCGCCTTCGACGCGAAGAAGGATGGTCATATTTCTGCAGCAGAAATGAAAGCGGTGAGAACGAAACAAAAAACAGTGAATTCATAATTATTGAACGCGTTGTTTCTTTCAGGTTCTACAAAATCTTGGTGAAGTGCTAAGTCCACCACAAATTGATAAATTGACCGAAAAATATTCCAAGAATGATAAAATCAATTACTCCGAGTTGATTGACTACATGCTGGGATAATCATGTTCGGATAATCCCACTCGCCATTAGAGGTGTTTTTTTCGTGCCACCCCGTTCATGAACGACAAAGCTCAGACTCTCTCATTTGTGAATCAGTTTTCTGCTCACAAAAAAGACATCGAAGAATCACATGTAAACCTCTCTTGGCTGTCTTCTGCAACAAACAACAATTCCGTACATTGCGAGTCCTATGAAGGCAACCCCTCCAAATGCAACCCCAACCCACGTTCCTGCGATAGAGAGAATGGTCCACATAACAAGACCATAATCAGAAGGACTGCTCTTTCGTTTCATCGGATCTTCTGATCATCTGCATTTTGTGATCTTACCTGTTGAGATGTCAGACACTGAGGCCCGAACTTCTTCTGTGGGGCACACATCAGTATTGCACGACTGTTTTTCCATCATTCGGTAGTCGCAATTGCTGTTCAAAGCGCCAGATGCAAGACTGCGTGTTCGCGTTTGAGTTCCACCACCGCACCTGAAATTCTCAATATGGAGGGAAAATGCATTTCATCAACGAGACTCACGTGAGACTGCAAGCGGACCAAGCCTGCCAATCTCCATAAACACAGTCCTCTCCTTGAATCGTTAGAATTCCCTTCGTTGTTCGGAATAAGGCTTTCGGGCTGTAGTTCAACTCCCATCCATCGTGCACGGAATTCCTCTCCATGTAACCATTTGACTGTCCCGCCCATCGCCAAATTCCACCATTCACGTCTATTCCTGCTAGAGATTCGTTTGAAGCCTAAAACAGAAGCAATCACTTGTTGAAGCTTCCATCATGATTCCAATCACGCTTACAATCAGGCGCTTGTATCCACGAGTCGCTCTTCCTTTTTCCCACCATCCACCGTAATCAACTGCTCCCCAAGAGACGCCTCGGCCATCCTGCGTGAAGCGTTGAAGATGATTTACGACTTGTTGAGTACCTGTCGAATGAAACCGAACGCACAACACGTTGCCATGAGCGTTTCAATCTTTGCATTTCTGACGTCTTTCTGTTCCCATTGCGTTCCAATGGGGGTCAGTGATCCTCCATAGAGACGATGGCCCCATGTGACAATAGTATTCTGTTTGTCTGTTCCCTTAATTGCTGTGAATGCGTGATCATTCAATACAATTTTCTGGATTCCTGATTCCAATTGACTCTGAAAAATCAAAAAGAATAAAAACTCTTAGAAATCGGGAATATGATTAAGAGCGCCTTCTCACCTTGACGCTTTGAAACGTCACAAAACTATCGGAACCGTAACCGCCTTCTTCGTTGCAAAAAAGTTTGTCACCACGACCCCACGTTGCAACCCCACCACCTTCAAGAAGTGCTGCAAAGCATTCTGAACTGGTAAAGATCTTGTTCACCTGAAAACTATTGATGATATTTGAAAGAGAGCGACACTTACTTGAGATCCACCTCCAGCTTGAATGCGCTTTGGGATGTACATTTGGAGGAAATTTCCCCAACTTATGATTTCCCTGGTTGTTTTGATTCCAGCAAATCCAACTTCATTTGCATAAAGTTTTGTTACAAATATCGCATCAACACCATCAGGAACTTTTCCTCCATTCTCTGCATCGCCCCATGCAAGAACCTGTCCTCCCTGCAACACCATTGCAACGGCCTTCGTATTTCCCACGAGACTCATCGGAGCTGCGTCCCCAACTGAAACACAAGAGCAAAGTGAAAAGCGTACAATGCGTCGATCTGGAGAAATGCACGGTCCAAGAAATCGACCACTCATTAATGATACAAGATTCCTACTTGTGCTGAGCTGGTTTCGGAACTTCGCGTCATCGGGAAACGCCCCACCAGCTTCGGGCCGTCCGAAAACAGCGAGGTGGGCTTTGTATGTTGGATGGGGACCGTTCAAAATTGGGACAGCCGCGTAGCCGTTTACCGCGCAGAGCACCTTGAGAACTTTGCCGGATGGTCGATCCCCAAGAATCGAATCCCAACCTGAAACAATATTTGCACGACATATCAAGAGTTGTTTGGTCTCAATTCAAATAGTTACCTGTGCATGTCTTTTTATTCCCCCAGCACACCATTTTACCGTTAAGAATTGCTACGAATGCGTCTTTCATCGGGCACAAGTCATTGGCATAGATGACTTGACCAACTGTTTTTCCAGTCTTTGCAATGCTTTCAGGCCACACATCAGCCTGTCTTAATGTGTCCAACACATCCTGAGGAACTTTTCCTCCCCACTCGAGATCATCTTTCGAAGGTGGGGGCTTTCCACTTCCACCTGTATCGTCGTTCTCGCCCTTCAGCTTCTCCTCGTAATAGTCCCCCCAGAGAACCCACACGGCTGCAGGGCGATCTCCATTTGCTATTGGGTGATCGTGTGCGTCATTAATGGATGTCTTGTTCCAGTTGTCAACCGCGTTTGAAGATTCCTTATCACTGTTCGCGAGTCGAACTGCAAACGCTCTGTCTGTTCCAACGACATCTGATACATTCTTTCCCTGGAGAGTTGTCAAAGCCTCCTTCCAGTCGCGGGTCATGACACGGGAATCGACGCCCCAACCCCACGCTGAGACAACCAGCTTGTCATAAGGCTGAAAAGACTGACCAGTCACCACGGCAACAGAAAAAATAAAGACAAATAGAAAGCGAGCTGAGCCGCCACTCATTTGTAAATTCGAAAAAAAAACTATTAGAATTTCTTTCTTCTTTGCGAAAGAAAAGTGCGATTCATTTCTAACTGATTCCGGTAAAGCCTGAACTGTCTTTCCAGAAAAAATATGAACGCCTTCAGACGCGACAGTTCTGGTTGGTGGGTTGTAAGGGTTGAGCTCATGATGGCACAGAAGGAGAACCACCCTTAAGCCTTTAGAATTTAGAGGGGACAGGTTGTTCTAATTGCGCGTGACTTTATTTACGTAATTTTTGATAAAATGGGGTTCGTGTTCCTTGTTAAGAGAGTGGCCAGCTCCACTTTTTCTCTCAAATTCCTCACGACAGTCACTTTATTCATTCTTTTTTTTGTTTTTGATTTTTGATTTGTTTGATTTCACTACAATGGCATTTAAATTCTGGTTTTTCCAATTTCTTGCTGGATTTTTTCTCTCGATCACAGAACTTCATGCTCAAACCGGATGCGACAGTCTCAAAGAACTCGCTGTTCAAACCGCGTCCCAATTGGCGGACATGGGAAGAAATCCAGGACTATTTCCTTACCATTTGCGAATGTTTTTCTATCCAGATGAAAAGCTGATTGCCATTATGAAACAAATGCGGAGTGAGAAGGAGAAACAAGCGCGAGTTCTCCCAGAGGTGACAATGCAAAACATGGGAAAGGAAATGCACACAATAACAGTGAAAGTGAGATCAGGTAAAATGATTGGAAGTGGTACATTCGTGTGCCGGGGGCCTTGCAAAGAGTTTGTCGATATCAAAGCGAGGGCAGCCTTGACGAAAACGAATCAAGGAAAGCTCTCTTGCCTGACGACCAAGGAGTTCTTTCTCACTCCGAATGCGGGGCCTTCCGCTCTCTACGGCATCGGTGTAGCTCTTCCAGGGGCCGAGACTAAAGTCATTTTTGACGCGGAAAGAATACTCAAGAGACCCGTTTCGCCGCAGCCTTTGAGGCCCTTGGTGTGGACTGCCAGTACCGTTACAGTTAGCATCGAAGGTGGAAAGATCAGCTACAAAGGCCCTGATGGAACCTTAATGGTAGTTAAGCCGGTGGGGAGGGAGCACGTCGTTTACAGCAAGTTTTATGACGGGGCAGCGCGGCTGTTGACGGCGTATGGGGGACAATTGCACTTCGAATGGATTCCAGTTGATACTGGACTTCTGAGCGAATCAGAGCTAGCGGCACTTCATGAACAGCGAAGAAAAGAAGCAGAAGAGGAAAGAGAAAGGAAAAAACGCGAAGAAAGGGAGCGTCGCGCTGCGGAACGGAAACGTGTGGCTGACGAGAAACGGGCCAGACGTGAGAAGCTAGAACAAGCAGCTAACGAAAGAAAAAGGTTGAGAGTGCTCGAGATCGAGGCTAAGAGACAGAAAAAGAGAGAAGAGGAGCAGAAGAGGAAAGACGAAGAGGAGCTGAGGAGAAAAGAAGAGGAAAGACGAAACGCGAGACTCGCAGCAGAAGAACAAAGGAAGCGCGACGAGGAAGAAGCGAGGCGACTTGAAAATGAAAGAAAGCTGGAAGAGAAGAGGCTGCAAAAGCTGGAAGAGAAGAGGCTGCAAAAGCTGGAAGAGCAGAGGCTACGCGAAGAAGAAGCGAAGCGAGTTGAAAATGAAAAAAAGCTGGAAGAGCAGAGGCTACGTGAAAAAGAAGCGAAGCGACTTGAAAAGGAAAGGAAGCGGGAAGAGAAGAGGCTGCAAAAGCTGGAAGAGGAGAGGCTGCAAAAGCTGGAAGAGGAGAGGCTGCAAAAGCTGGAAGAGCAGAGGCTGCAAAAGCTGGAAGAGCAGAGGCTGCAAAAGCTGGAAGAGGAGAGGCTGCAAAAGCTGGAAGAGCAGAGGCTGCAAAAGCTGGAAGAGCAGAGGCTACGTGAAAAAGAAGCGAAGCGACTTGAAAAGGAAAGGAAGCGGGAAGAGAAGAGGTTGCAAAAGCTGGAAGAGGAGAGGCTGCAAAAGCTGGAAGAGCAGAGGCTGCAAAAGCTGGAAGAGCAGAGGCTGCAAAAGCTGGAAGAGCAGAGGCTACGAAAGCTAGAGGAGGAGAAGCTACGCAAAGAAGCTGAAGAGAACAAACGGAAGGCACTCCTCGAGCAACAACGCCTAGAAAAAGAACGAAAAGAAAAATTACAGAAGGAGCGCGATGAACGGGGTAAGTCTGTTCTCCTTGTTCTCATGCATGAGTTCTACAGCAGAGAGTCAAACTGGCTGAAGCCGAGAGAATACAGAGGGAGATTGAATGGATGAAACTGCATCCAGTTCAACTTAAACACGCTACCGTGACAGCGAAAGAAGCGCCAGCCCCGTTTCCTGGATGGGTTTACAACAGTGGGAGGGAAATTTGTCGAAAAAAAATGATTTCAGACATTTTTATCATGTTTTTTGAATGAAAGAGCTTTCATGCTTTCTCATGACTTTTGAGAACAGAACTCTGTCACTTCAGTCCAAAATACGAGATTCTGGCAATTCAGCGCAGTGAAACTCGTCTTCTTCAGGGAGTCTCTTCCTCTGCTTTCGAAAACCCTGGTGAGGCCAATCCGTTCCCTTTTACTCCCTTCACCGTTCATCATCTACTCTTCACGTATCTCCAGACCACCCCCTCGTGAACCTTCTGAAGTTGTTGCTGCTTTGCGACTGGCGATGCAAAATTCAGTGAAGTTTTAGAACGATCTAAAATAGAGGAAACTTCAAGAGGCAGAGAAGCTGCACTTGCTTTTCTCTGTTTCAAGTTGTCTCATAACTGTTGTTCAAGGATCTGAATACAATTCTCTGAGTGAATGTGTGGACTTGAACCGCCTTACGGCTATTAGTGGTTCAAAGTGAAAAAGCTTGACAAAATTGGAACGGATAGCTTTTAATACGGAGATGGTGAACATCACAAGGAGTGTAGCCCATAACAGGCCAAAGCTTCGACCAAAGGTTGCCAGGAACAGCTTCAGTTGCGAGAAGCCATCATGAGGGCAAGGGTGTACATTGTGACGGAACTCTATGTAAGACCTACTCAAAAATTGATCCGACCACAAAAAAACAAAAAAACGCCCGCAATTATCGACAGCTGCAGATGATGTAATAAATTGCCCCTTCCTGCTTTGGGATTCAACATGAAAAAAACTTCAACTTCTTATGATGGAAAACCACATCGAGCCCACAAGGCCGACGGCCACCACTCCGGTAGCTGCGGCGACGGTTACAACCACCCAATCGCTTGCCCGTGCAGAGACTTTGAAGAGAATTGCGACGGTGGTGGTGGATGTCGTTTGGGTTGAGTTGCTTGTTTCAGCTGTAGTGGTCGTAATAGTCGTCTTTGTTGTAGTAGTTGTTGTAGTTGCTTTTCTTGTGGTCGTGGTTGTGGTGGACGTTGTGGTTGTAGTGGTCGTTGTGGTTGTAGTAGTCGTTGTGGTTGTAGTAGTCGTTGTGGTTGTAGTAGTCGTTGTGGTTGTAGTACGTTGTGGTTGTAGTAGTCGTTGTGGTTGTAGTAGTCGTTGTGGTTGTAGTAGTCGTTTGTGGTTGTAGTAGTCGTTGTGGTTGTAGTTGTGGTTGTAGTAGTCGTAATCGTGGTTGTTGTTGGTGGTAAGTGCCTAGATTTCGGTAAAGGAGCAGTGGATGTATGAGCGATATTTAACATGGTTCCGTTGAGCATCACAAAGAAGTTTATGCAGTTGATTGGTGAACAACAGGCGGTCTGCTCGGCTTGGATTGAAGGAATACACTGCTGAACTCACAATCGGGTCTCCTGCTTTTCTCACCAAATCCTATATTATTTTTCCACCAATTTTCGTTTGTGCCTTCTTTGATGGCGGGTAGCAAATAGAACTTTGATTTAGCGAGATATTCATTAAATTGTTACCGACGGCCCGTTGATCTTGCCACATGTTTTACCATTTCTCTTGTTCTAAGGGATTCTTTGAGGGAATGCGTCATCGGTGTATCCTCGATATTTCGTGGGAATTAGAATCATTCGAACAATCAGAAGTCCTTCTTCGGTCTTTCCTGGAGAAAGAAAACCAAACTCAGTCTCCGCCCGATCGATAATATCTGTAAGTCTCGCAAGCCTCCCCAGTCCGGCTCCCACGACACTTTATCCACCGCCTCCATGAATGTATCGACATTGAGTTCCTTGATCTTATCATTCCCCATGCGGCAATTTGTTATGGTGGCCACGGAATTGCTGTAGCCGAACGTGAGGAGAGCTACTCGAATATCTTCAAATATCTCCGAAGTCTCTTTTCATCTCATTCAACCACTCTTTCAGTTTTCTCTGTAATTTGTTGAGTTGAAGTCGTCACCTTTTTCTTGAAAGACCAAAAACTCCAAAGCGAAATCCAAGAACCGGACCTTGCTGCGCAAGAATACATACTGACACATGGAAGACACAGGCTACAAAATTAGAGCTAGTGTTTTCATTTTTAGATTACAAGTAAAGGTCCATGCAGTTTACTTGATCCAAGGAACAAACTCCATTTCACGAGTAATCCAATCTTTTGTACTTTCTGTTATTGAGGCCACCCACTCACAAGATTGGCGTCGTTTTGTGATAGACTTCTTTTGTACTTTCTGTTATTGAGGCCACCCACTCACAAGATTGGCGTGTTCTGTCCCAGTCTATCACAAAACGACAATTTCAAAGATATAGAAACACTTTTGGTCAAAAGAAGAGTCAAATGAACGCTGACATTAATCCCTATATATTGTCTGTTTTCTATTTGGATGAATTAAAGATACAGGAGTACGACATTTTTAAATTGTAATCAGTTCGGTGGTCTAGCCACTCCGTCGGCTCATGTTGAATTGATGAAATTGTTCATTCGCAAGCGCAGATATCTAATTGAGCGGATAGCAGTTGAATGAGATTGGCTGGTTTACGGCCTAAAGGTTTTATTCTATTTAGTGCCTCAACGGGTTCCTTTTTCAGCGAGCAGCTCATCATTTGGATAAATGGTTCTCATTCTGCGGTAGAACAACAGTGATGTGTGAAATTAACGAGGTGGTCCACCGGACAGGACTTCTTAGCGTCAAAGGGCTAAAAGAGAAAAGGAAGGGGCCTTTTAAGGTGCCCAACGCTGTTCCTTCCTTGGCAAGAGGGGAAGATTAATGTGTGAAAGTGAAGGTTGCTAAGAGAGAAGGGTTGATTGCAAAGCTGCCGCCTCTTTCACATTTTGTTCTTCCCTGAACTGTCAGATTTTGATCAGCGGGAATGACGCACCAAATAATGATGCAAATAAAGATCTGAAAAGGTTTCGCGTCGCTTACCACATTGGCTTTTCACAATAAAGAAAAGTCTCGTTCTTCAGCAAGACGAAGAGATTTCTGAAAGCTTTTCCACGTCAGCTTCAAAGGGACAGTTCGGCTCGCCCCATTGCTCTCTTATTGGCACAGGATTCAGTCGAGTATGACAACTAGACGCTTATCAGATGCAGTCGACTTTTTGTTTGTTTGAGCTTCCAACGACATTGATCCAAAACTATCGTGGTTATGCGGTGGCTTGCAAATTATTCTGATATTTCAAGAAATCAGAGATTCGCCCTAGCAAAGTTGCTCTGCACCAAAAGGGATGAAGTGGAGAATCATTTGACTCACTTTCGATTTTTCGCAATTGCTAAAAAGTCAGCCAACAGGGGGACGGCGGCAAAATTGATCGGATCGAATTAAAAGATGGCCCAAAGGTTGCACAACAGAAATGGACTGCAAACAGAAATTCCTCAAGAAGATCTGTCGCTGTGATATTTGTGCTTGCCATGAAGAACATTTACAAAGGGAACAGATGCCCCCGAGTCCCATGAAGCATGGACGACATACTGGCGAAGGTCCCTGTTCGAAGTCAAGATGTACGTCGCTATCATTGAAGAAGAAGCAAATAATATCGGTGTAACCAACGCCGTGTGCCAGACTGCCGAATGCCTTAGAGAAGTATTCACTAACGAGTAAGAATTGAACTTCACCGTCGTCATGCTGCTTTGTCTTTCCGACTGCTCCCCTGATTGCATCTTGGCATCCGCGTCCTGAACGACTTCTAAATCGGTCGTCGTACAGAAGTGGTTTTGCCGTTTGTCTGTATCTTCTGAGAATTATCGTATTCAGCAGCTTCAGGATTAGCAGTTCCATCGTGATTGGTCGGAATTGGATGACGTCAACGACGCTTGCTTTTAGCACAAGTCCCACGCATTCTGTTTCGATGGCAGATTTTCACGCTGGGTCATGATTTAGAACAACCAGACCATTTGCAGTGAAATGTTTGATTTTTCTGTCAACCTGATCTGCATTCATATCCCAATGCCTACATTCTCCAGATCATTGGGTGCATGCAGCTTGTTACGAAAGATTTTCGCTTTCCCGGTGACCTTCTTATTCTTGTGTTACACTCTCAGACTACATGTTCTAATGGCACTCTCGATATCGTGTTCGTATCAGTACGAAGGTTGTTCCCCCAACGTGAATTTGATTCGGACGTTTCTGTCAGGACCGAGAATTGCGACCTCTTCATTCGTTATTACTTTCTCCTTCCATAATGGAGCAACCAACTTTCATCTATTTTCTCCACCTGGGTGAATGTCCCAACATGTACTGACTGCTGAAATCATTCTTTCGTCGTGGAGCAGGCAATCGATCGGACGAAGGAGAAAGAGACGAATGGCGATACTCGTTCGATTCAGATAAAAAGCGCTCAGATAGATTAACCGAACTACAGTGCCATTGAGGCGCCACCTGCACAGCCGATAACCCACTCTGCGACCGTGGAAAATGTCGTCGCCCTGGATTACTCGGTAGCTTTCGTGATGGATGCACAGGAGAAAATCGTTTAGAAGGCTCACCGGCGTCACTTCGTCTTACGGCCCTTCCATCTCTTCAGGATTGCATGAATGAATTCAGGACTGTTCTTGCGTCAACATTAATCCTCAACAATAATCTCAAATACTTCTAATTCGCCGCCGGTGGTAGGCTCACAGCCTAAAGTTCGGGATGGTTCTATGAATCCAATGAGGGCGAAACTCCTCAAGGGGGCAATATGAAATTCGTGAAGAAATGTGTGGCAGAGAAAGAAGACTGAGTTTGGTTTTGGATAAAAAATGAAGGAAAATGTCCCAAATGTATACAGGTAATAGGAAAAGCACACGAAACCAATGAGGCACAACTTTGGCTCTCAACCCGACAGCCGAAGCACATATTTTTCAACGAATTTCATTTGAAAAATTCATAGATAATTTCTATCGTGAATATGAAATCATCGACATGCTATTTTAAAAGTTGCCAAAAAAGAAAAGTCGATGTTTATTCAGTCTTTCCTCCACAATTTCCTTCCACCTTGCCATTGCTTCCCTCATCTGTGGTCGCAGCTGTCGCTTGTCTATGCTCTGTTTCCAGCCTGTAGCGATTCACCAGAAGTTGTAATGTGGTTGCAGCTGTTGAATCACTGCCTTCCCGAAAAAATGTTGGGGGCTGTTAGTTATCCTCACGACATTGCAATAAAATCTGCCGCGATGGACGAGTCGCTTTTCTGCTTCAAGAATGACGATCCATGGCGAAGATCCATTTTTCACCTTAATTGGATAGGTTTTGGTCCAAGCTGCAATTTCGGTTTTTCACCATGGAATCTAAATTTTCTGGTTATTGAACTGGCGAAAGTTGCTTAAGACCTCACGCCTCTTCTGTGGATGGTCACTTGCGATCAAGTGATCTGTAAACATATCGATATCATTGACATCCACTTCACTGATATTGTCTGTTTAATTGCTCTGCTGGCCATTCTTCAGAATATCAACATCCGATTCACTCACGACTGAGACTTCTTGACGAAAATGTTCCTGAATCGAGTGAATGACTTCCACACGACGCAGCAAAGGGAGAGCAGGTCGGTTGTAGGGACTTGATACCCTGAAGGCGTTGAGGCCTCATCGTTGCGAGAAGACAGTGGAGTTTCCACCACCGACACTTTCACATCAACACCCTCTCTACTCTCACTCCTAATTCCTTCTCCTAGAGCTCGATAATTTAGACCATCAATCAACAATTTACAACGAGTGAGATAAATCAACAATACTGAGTGAGATCCATCAACAATACTGAGTGAGATTAATTAACGATACTGAGTGAGATCCATCAACAATACTGAGTGAGATCCATCAACAATACTGAGTGAGATTAATTAACGATACTGCGTGAGATCCATCAACAATACTGAGTGAGATCCATCAACAATACTGAGTGAGATCCATCAACAATACTGAGTGAGATCCATCAACAATACTGAGTGAGATCCATCAACAATACTGAGTGAGATAAATCAACAATACTGAGTGAGATCCATCAACAATACTGAGTGAGATCCATCAACAATACTGAGTGAGATCCATCAACAATACTGAGTGAGATCCATCAACAATACTGAGTGAGATTAATTAACGATACTGAGTGAGATCCATCAACAATACTGAGTGAGATAAATCAACAATACTGAGTGAGATTAATTAACGATACTGAGTGAGATCCATCAACAATACTGAGTGAGATTAATTAACGATACTGCGTGAGATCCATCAACAATACTGAGTGAGATCCATCAACAATACTGAGTGAGATCCATCAACAATACTGAGTGAGATCCATCAACAATACTGAGTGAGATCCATC